GATAGTAGTCATGCAGCATTCTCCCCAGTGAGCTCAATAATTACCTCTTGAAGCTACTTTCTATGTGAGCTCTAGACTAACTGATGCCAAGCAGCCATAAAATGCCATGTGCTGGACACCATAACTCACACTCTATAGTTGAACGATGTACAGCCAATCACTAATCAATGTTATTTCTGTAAACCAATGAGATTTCCTGTCAAACGACTTTGTGTCAGCCCATTCCTTGTCCCCTTTTGCCTTTAAAAATCTGCTTGTAACACATGATGAATGGAGGACTCTCAAGGCAACTTGGCATAGTGCCCTAGGCAGCTGTCCTCAACCTTGGCCCAAATAAATGCTCTATATTAATTTTGCTGTTTCTTTCTGAAGGTTGATAATAGATGTTAATACATCATCTTAAGTCTGTTGTCTTTGGCAGCCAGTATTATGTTTTCAAATGACAGTCAACCAATCCTGGATAAAGAAAGTAATAATCAAGGGCAAAGAGTGATGCTTCTGGAGCTCTACTGAGACTGGGGGTGTACGAGCCAAACAATGTTCCATCCCAATCACCTGTTCTACCAGAACAGCTGAACTTGGATCAGATCCATATATACTGGGATTCCAAGTTTCAAGAGAATCATAGGCTTTAAGGTAGGATTTCTACCATCTCCACCCTGGGATGATTTGTAATTCTTTAGAAAGTCAACTTTTCTGTGGGTGGTGGAGACAAGTGTGGGTGATATGGGAGGTGGAAAAGGTCCCCCTCTGCTGGGTTTCCCCCACTGCAGAGCCTATTCTGCTTCTGGGTAAAGGTTCTGCCAGGGTTCACATTTGTGGTGAGAGACCAATTCAAATGTAAAGCAGTTTCAGGATGGGGAAAGGAAATCACCTTGAGTAACTACTAACCCTTCCACTCTGCCCTAGAAAAGAAAGCCACTAGCCTTACTCAATCCCTTGGATTATGAATATCTCAACCCCTTGGATTAAGAATAATAAGAGTTCACAATTTGTTTTAAAAAAGTTGTCACTTTAGCAGACAAAGAGGTGAATAAGTGAATGAGAGAGACATCCTGTCTTTTATGTACCTTTGCTATCTATATGCCTTCTTACCCACAAAAAGCATCAAGAGCAAAAAGAAAAAAAATCAGTCAATAACATAGTACATACACATAAATAAGACATCTTCTATCCTGGGTGGTTAAGGCAGACTTTTTTTTTTCTTTTTTTTTTGAGACAGAGTCTCACTTTGTTGCCCAGGCTAGAGTGAGTGCCGTGGCGTCAGCCTAGCTCACAGCAACCTCAAACTCCTGGGCTCAAGTGATCCTCCTGCCTCAGCCTCCCGAGTAGCTGGGACTACAGGCATGTGCCACCATGCCCGGCTAATTTTTTGTATATATATTTTTAGTTGGTCAATTAATTTATTTCTATTTTTGGTAGAGACGGGGTCTCGCTCAGGCTGGTTTCGAACTCCTGACCTTGAGCAATCCGCCCGCCTCGGCCTCCCAAAGTGCTAGGATTACAGGCATGAGCCACCACGCCCGGCCTTTAAGGCAGACTTTTAAATACACTAAAAAATATAAGTGTGTTTTCTTTACTTGAAAGTAAATGGAAGGGAACTGCCACTCCTAACATTTACTTAAAATCATTTTCCAAGTTATAAGTTATATATAACACAAGAAGCCAATTTCTCAAATGACAGCTTGCATTTCTAGTCTCACTTTCCAGGTTGTAAACTTTGGTTATGGATATACCCATAGCACATTGCAATACACTGTTTCTGTGTTCCACTTAGGCAGCTGATATAATAGATACTTAAATATCATCAATCCAGCAGTGTTAGACTTTGGATTTTATGTTTTTTCTATAAGCTGGTTGGCTAAATGAATCAGGATAATCAAGATAAGACAACCCCACTGATCAAACCAAAGCCCCCCAGTCAATGTTCTCTATTTTGCTGGATGTTAGAACTTGGTGAAACTTTCTATGCTATCTTCCAAGAGTTAAAAGATTTCACTGTCAAAATCAAAGACCACACCCATGAGTCTCAGCTTTGCCCCACTTCCTTTTTTCTCCAATAGTACTTCTTTCTCTCAGACTATTTATGGAGTGCTATGGATTCAAATGCACAACTGGATAGTATAATACCAGAAGGGAAACTGGGCATAGGATGTTCTACCCCTCTGACGTAAATATATACATGGCACTGCTTAGTTAGCTGTGCTTAGGCACGTGAGTGATCTTTAAGGGGTATCTTTTTCTCTGAGTAGGGGCCATGTTAGAATCTGTAGATGGGGGAGGAGGGATATACAACTTAAAAATGGCTAATATTAAAAATCTATTTTCATAAATCATATAAACCAGGGATCTGCAGAATATTTATCGATAAGGGAACTAAAGTTTGTTATCAGTGTGGGGAGGTGCAGACGGGGAGGAGGACTGTGTGAGAAGGAACACATATTACAATCTCTTAGGATTTGTGAGATTTTAATGTTTACCAGAAAGAAGATACGAATTTAAAAAGGTTGAGAAACATTAATATCAAGGGAAAGGTATTTCTAGTTTAGGGACTCCATACATATGAGGTCATGAAATTACAGTATAGTAAATGCCACATCATAAATGGTTATGAATAGTAAAATTATTTAAATATCCCACAATAGCAACTGATTTGCTGACTGGTTCCACAAAATTTTCTTCAATTTAAAATAATATGGAGATACCTTAAAGCGATACAAGTGAATCTACCATTTGATCCAGCAATCCCATTGCTGGGCATCTACCCAAAAGATCCAATGACACTCTATAAAAAAGACACCTGCACTCGAATGTTTATAGCAGCACAATTCATAATTGCAAGGCTGTGGAAACAGCCCAAGTGCCCATCAATCCAAGAATGGATTAATAAAATGTGGTATACGTATACCATGGAGTACTATTCAGCTCTAAGAAACAATGGTGACATAGCACATCTTATATTTTCCTGGTTAGAGCTGGAACCCATACTATTAAGTGAAGTTTCCCAAGAATGGAAAAACAAGCACAACATATACTCACCAGCAAATTGGTATTAACTGAACAACACCTAAGTGGTCACATAGGTACTACAGTAATAGGGTATTGGGCAGGTGGGAGGGGGGCGGGTATATACATATATAATGAGTGAGATGTGCACCATCTGGGGGATGGTCATGCTGGAGACTCAGACTTGTGGGGGAGGGGGGGAAAATGGGCATTTATTGAAACCTTAAAATCTGTACCCCCATAATATGCTGAAATAAAAAAATAAAATAAAAAAATAAAATAATACATCCTTTATCTTGAAGAGATCCAAGTCTCTAAGTTCTGTCCTTATACAAGCCACTTTCTACAGCAAAATTACCCTATTGTGTTTGTTCTTCTGCTCAATAAAAAAATTCTCCATACTTCATTCTATTGCAAATATTTCAAGCGCCCATAACTTCAACTTGCTAGGAAGCCATCCAAATGGTTTTCTTTGTCCACTCAATTTCCAGTAATCCCTTACTGCAAAGACTTAAAAGACAGACTTTGTCTTCAATGTTAACAACCTATTTTCAGTAGACCCTTCTTTCCTGCAAAGAAAAAGTACTGATAATGAGTAAAAGCTATTGCAGATCACTGGTACTCAAACTGTGTATTCTGAAAACTTATTACTGATAATTACCATTATAGAGAGTATATCTCTGAAGGTAAAAGGTTACTGTCCAGGAAATTTTAATCCACAAGACATTATTTGTGGAAATAATTACCATTATTTACTTTCCAAAATCTTTTCCTTAAAAAAAAAGTACCTTTAAAAATATTTTTCTTGGTTGCACAACAATGTGAATAAATTTAACACTTCTGAACCATACACTTACAAGTGGTTAAGATGGTAAATTTTATGTTGTATGTATGTTACAACTTAAAAAAATTTCTATAGATTAGGGACTGAAAAACATGACACATGTCCTACATAGGTCCCAAAGGCTTATTTTCAGTGCACAGGGCCTGATACCATTACCTGTTGTAATCCCACTTATTTGAGCAGTTGTCAAATACCGTACCTAGTATTTGACAAAAGACTGCATTAGTATTTGCATACTAATTAACCATTCACCTAAAAGGTAGTTCATTTCATATTCTGTTATCCCTTCCTGAAGATAACCGTAATCTTGGTTCCTCTTTCCCTTTATACATGATTCAAAACCATGGCAGCAAGTATAGGAGACAGCAGGTGGGAAACAGCAGCCACAGCATAAATACTACAGGACATAGAAACTAAAACGTAGCATAACATAATTGAAACAAACAAATTGAAATTAAACAGTAATATTTATGCTTATTAGAAAACAAATGAGGTACAGTAGCTCACACCTGTAATCCTAGTACTCTGGGAGGCTGAGGTGGGAGGACTGCTTGAGCTCAGGAATTCAAGACCAACCTGAGCAAAAGAAAGACCTGTCTCTACTAAAAACAGAAACATTAGCTGGGCATGGAGGCTGAGGCGGGAAGATAGGTTCAGCCCAGGAGTTTGAGTGAGCTAAGATGATGCCATTGCAGTCTACTCAAGGGGACAGAGCGAGACTCTGTCTGAGGAAAAAAAAAAAAAGATATTAAGAAACAAACAAGGATAAATAGTATTAATGGCCAATCAGCTAATGTATTATTTGAGAATAGTGAAGTTTTGTTAGGTTGGTGCAAAAGTAATTGTGGTTTCTGACTGATTTTTAAATCATTATAACTAGGCTCAAACACATCTTTATTAATCAAAATAGGAACTAATACAATGAACACATTTTTGCCAATGAGAAATAAGTTTGTTTATTCCTGTAGTGTAAAAATCCATGCTTCAGGATTTGACGAACTCTTGGAAAGCATTTTCTGCACCCTGCTGGTTGTGGAAGCCTTTTCCCTGCAAAAAGTTGTCACGATGCTTGAAGAAGTGGTAGTCAGTTGGTGAGAGGTCAGGTGAATACGGCGGATTAGGCAAAACTTCGTAAGCTCAATTCACTCACCTTTTGAAGTGTTGGTTGTGCAATGTGTGGTCCGGCATTGTTGAAGAGAATCGGGCCCTTTTTGTTGGGCAATGCCAGCTGCAGGTACTGTAGTTTTCGGTGCATCTCCTTGATTTGCCGAGCATATTTCTCAGATGTAATGGTTTCGCCAGGATTCAGAAAGCTGGAGTGGATGAGACTGGCAGCAGACCACCAAACAGTGACCAGTGACTTTTTCTGGGCACCAGTTTGGCTTTGGGAAGTGCTTTAGAGCTTCTTCTCAGTCTAACCACTGAGCTGGTTGTCACTGGTCATATAAAATCCACTTTTCATGGCACATAACAATCTGGTCAAGAAATGGTTCATTGTCATTGCACACAATAAGAAAAGATGACACTTCAAAATGATTACTTTTTCGATTTTTGGTCAGCTCATGAGGCACCCACTTATCCAGCTTTTTCACCTTTCCAGTGTGCTTCAAATGCCAAATGACTGTAGAATGGTCGACTACATTGAGTTCTTAGCCCACTTCTTGTGTAGCTGTAAGAGGATCAGCTTCGATGACTGCTCTCAATTGATCATTGTCAACTTCCAATGGTGGCCACTGAGCTCCTCATCTTCAAGGCTCTCACCTCCTTTGCAAAACTTTTTGAACCACCACTGCACTGTACCTTCATTAGCAGTTCCTGGGCCAAATGTGTTGTTGATGTTGCAAGTTGTCTCCACTGCTTTACGACCCATTTTTAACTCAAATAAGAAAATTGCTTGGATTTTTTTTTGTCTAACATCATTTCCATGGTCTAAAATAAATATCAAATCAACAACAAGTAATAAATCATTAGCAAAAAAAAATAAAGTGAGAAATGTACATTAAAATGATGTATAACATTTATTTAAGAATGTATTTTAGTATCAAAGGGCAAATTTCAACAATGCTAAAACTGCAGTTACTTTTGCACCAACTTAATGTATCAACATGCTATTTTTATTTACCATTTACTTCTGAATAACAGATACATATTAAAAGACATGTAGTCTTTCTTCATTATACGGCAAGCTCCCAATCAAGTCAATAATTATTTTTGCTCTAATAGCCCAGAAATGAAAATACTCCAACATCCAAGCATTTACATAATGCCTGTATCCTACTGTAAATAACACTTACGAGTATCTTGAGGTATCCTCCACAGTTCACAGATGTATAGTGCTAAATTATATTACCCGTCTAAGGTCATATTCTTGAAAATGATTAAAAAGTGTTTAATAATTCTACCAAAGATTACTTAACACTAATATCTAAGTATTAACAGTAAACTATTAGTCAAGGAAAAAGTCAGCTCTGCTCCATGTGTGTGCACATACCACACACATAACCTGATCTGTGTTAATGATTTTCACTTAATATTAAATAAGTGTAAGCATGTTAAACTTGTGTATTTTCTCACCCACTCATTTTGAAACCCTCTGTGGGATATGGCTACAGTAAAATGTCAGCTTGGTTATTACCTTTCAAGTAAGAAATTTCCCAGCAAAATTGGGAAACTAGTGACAATAAAGTGAATGCTTTCCCAGTTGAGTTTCACTCTTGGTTTCTTTCATGGCATAAACCAACTTGCCCATGTAGAAGCTACACCCTTTCTTTTGTAACATAATTGCAGAAGAGGAGAGAAAATAGCAATGCATTTTACTTACTAGCCTTGGTCTACCTACAGCATTTTTCCTTGCCCAAGAAAAAAAGTTGTGTGTGTGGAGAAATGACCAAGATCAGTACAGTGGTACTTCTTTGTTCTCAACATTACTGATGTTCCAGACTCTTTCATTTAATTGTATTTTCTCTAAGGAGTTTTTGTTTGTTTGTTCTAGGCTATTTTGCTGAATATTGTTGCTGTCTTAAGAACAATGTACTCTCAGACCCAGACAGTTTCATGAGTAAATTTTTTTAGCTCTTCAAAGAACAGAGTTCTTATGCTATTTAAACTACTTCAGAGCAGAGGAAGAACTCTTCCCAGTTCGTTTTAGGAAACCCAGCATAATCTTGACATCTATTAATAAATCTGGTAATGATAACAGAAAAAGATGATCATAGATAACTATCAATCATTGATTTTAAATAAAAGTGTTACCAAAAAGGAATCAATATATGCTTAAATATTATACCATGATGAAGTATAAGATTAGTTCACAAACTGGAAATATAGTAAAATAATTCACAGTCATTAACAGGTCAAAAAAAATAACCTATGATAGGTTATGAGAGATGCCAAAAAGCCATTTGACAAAATTCAAATTCCGTTTCTGATGAAAACATTAAGAAGTAATAGAAAGATGAGGCTTGGTGTGGTGGCTTATGCCTGTAATCCTAACACTTTGGGAGGCTGAGGCTACAGGATCACTTGAGGCCAGGAATTCAAGACCAGTTGGAACTCACTTTGTTAACAAAGTGAGACTCCATCTGGGGAGGGGGATTAGCTGGGTTGTAGCACCAGTAGCCCCAACTACCCAGAAGGCTGAGGTGGGATGATCATTTTAGCCCAGGAGTTTGAGGTTGCAGTGAGCTATGAGTGAGCCAATGCACTCCAGCCTAGGCAAAAGGAGCAAGACCCTGTCCCTAAAAACAAACAAACAAAAAGAAGTAATGAAAAGACATTATCTCAACACAAGAACTATATATACCAAGTGAACATCGAACATCTATTATTTAAAATTGTTCTCGACGTGCAAGCCCATGCAAACAGACACTCCCTCTCCCTAATCATAAAAATGATTTTGGACACAATCCAAACATTGGTTCTCTGTATAAATCCTAATAACCTAGAATTATTAAATGGAACTTCCTTGATAAATAGAATTTATTAGAAATTAATAGTAAACTTCATATATAATGACATAGTAAAAACACCCCCAAATCAAGAAACAAGATAAGGATGATCAGTATCATTGTTATTATTTATCATCTGAGGAAGCCAGCAATTCATTAAAGCAAAGAAAGTATAAGAGAGATTATTACATTTAGATGACTGTTTTCCTAGAAAGTTCAAGAGAAGAAATGTATTAAAACTAATAAATTTAGAAAGTTGGCCAGATACATAAACACTCATCTACATACCAATAACAAAATATTGTTAATATAATGATTAAAATCTCAAAAGGATTATTTTATGGGACATGAACAATTTATTTTAAATTTTATCTGAAAGAAAATGCAATAATATTCAAGACAATTTTGAAAAGGAAAAATGAAGACGGACTTGCCCTATGAATTACTAAAAAAATGCCACAATCAAAGCAGATTGGCATTTGTAAAGGGAGAGACAAATGGATCAAAGCAACAGATGAATCTAAAAAAAAGACACATGTACACATGGGAATTTACTATATTAAGGAGGTATTCTCAGTCAGTTGGGAAAGAACCAATTTCAACAAATGATTACTGGAAAAATGGCTACTCATTCATGAACAAAAGAAAAAAATTAAATCTCTATCTTATACAATGTACAAAAATAATTTTCAGATGTTGTAATGAATAAATCATAAGAATTATCAGATAATATAGGAGAAGACTTTAATAATTTTTTGAGTGGAAACTGCCTTCTTACATGAGCTACAAAACCTAGGCATTTTAAACCAAAACACTGACAGTTCTTGAAAATATGTCATATATTTCACAAAGGATTAATATAGCTGTATTCTAATGAGAGACAGATAATTTTGAAGAATAATGGACAATACGTATGGACAAGGCACATTAAGCAATGGTCAACTACATTATAGTACATCCCAAATGAACAATACGCTGACATTACAATAGAATACAGCTACATATGGCAAGACTTCCACCATATAGTTTTAATATGAAACAGATGATAGAACAGTATGTATAGATAATCTCATTTTCATAAGAAAGGGAAATAACATGACTATGCACGTATAGGAGAGATGTGGAAAGCCTTCGATTACATATTGCTGGGGAGGGGACCGAGGGGTTTTTCTGTTTTATTCGTGGTTATATCATTTGAGGGTCCCACCCAAATGAGGTGGACAAAATAATTTTCAACAGAATACATTGCTTGCTTCCCTGCCACCTCTTGTTTGAATGTGCATTCAAACTGTAACAGGGAAGCAGATGATTTTCTTTTCCTTCAATTTCAAGTTACCTAACTTCCTTTACTCCCATTTCTCCCCTATGATAACTAGTTAAGAACATCTCCTGTGAGATACATGACACTTTACATGGCAAGGCTGCTTTACTTTTGCTTGTTACAGCCTAACAGTAAGACAGCATGACGCCTCTTTGACTATCTTCCCCCTTCTTTCTACTTCTTGACAAGTACAGTGCTTTACGCCTTTAACCCGTGGCTCGACAGTTACACCTGGGTGGGGACTCTCTACCCAACGCGAGGGTTCCCACTTTGGGCAGGGTCTGCCTCTGCTCTTTCCGCCTCGGCCACCCCTTCTCTCCGTGACCCTCTGGGAAGTTACAAACTTCTCATTGAGCAGGCTATGATGACACCATACAGGAAAGCAGAGAATTGTGCAACCACCTTGCGAAAAACAACAAAGAGGACCTATTAAAAAGTTTTCGAAAGAGTAACCACGATAGTACTTGATGCTGGGAGGCAGCTCCTCTCCCAAAGGGAAGTCGGGGACACTCCTGAAGGGGTCCACTGCTCACCCCGCCACCGCAGGCCCCGTCGCCCCCATTTTTCAGGCAAAGGAGTCAAGTCACCCAGAGCGGCCGACGCGGAGGCTGGCCAAGTTCCTCCCCTACAGCCGTCGGGGCGGGAGCTGTCGCTGCTGTGCTGACGTCGCGGGCCCGGAAAGCCCCGTCTAAGTCCGCTGTGCGACACGGACTCCGGGGTTCCTCACGCACAAAATCCCTCCCCAGTCTGTGAACTAGTTGTCTCCGTGGTTACGCTGCTCCTCTCCCTGCGGCGCCCACACTGCCAGCGCGTCGCTCTCGCTCACACACACACGTTCTCCGTCGCCGGAGATTCGGACACACCAACTCACTCACGAAGTTTCTTACTTACAATTCAGGGATGCCGCGAGTATCTCAAGCGTCAGGTCGCCGGCAACCCGCGGACAGACTCCAGCCGGAAGTTATTTTCCGTTCCAGTTCAGAGGGCAGCGCCTGCGCGCGGAGCCATTAACGCCTCACCCTCCACCCGGCTTGGCCAGGCCGGCGGCCCTCCTGCCCGCCGCTCGCCCCGCCCGCTTAGCCGCGCCCTCCTGCCCCGCCCCGCCGCCGCGCCGCCACGCCCTGCCTACATCCCACTCCGCCCGGCCCCGCCTCAGCCGCGCCCCCAGCTCCGCTCACCCTCGCTCAGCCTGGTCCTGCCCATCTCAGGTAAAAAATCAGCCGCGAAAAGGAATCCAGTGTCTATCTTTAAAGGTTACTTGAGGGCCTCGGCTAGGTTTTTTGTCAAACAATAAATAACCAGTAAATAAACAAGCAATAAATAAATAACATCACCCTATATGTGAGTTAGAGTACACAAGAATCACCCGAGAAGCTTGTTAACATGCAATTTCACCAACCAACCCTGAGAGATTCCACTTCAGAACAACTGGGATGAAGCCCAGGAACCGGCATTGTCAACAGATTCTCATAAGAATGTG